ATATATATATATATATATAGTATATTTATAAAGCATTTATAAATAAGTACGAATACTTAATAATATAATAAAAATCCTATATAATATAATAAAAAAATCATGATTTTAATAATGTATTATTTAAATATATATACATATATATATATATATATATATATATTTATATATTTGTTAATAGTCGATAACATCGACAATCTGCAATTATCTCTGGGTTGCAGTTAATGCAGTACAAATACTACAGGTAGCGCGTGTGATCAATACAATTTCGGTAAAATGCCTTTAAATCTAGTACACATTCTCATTCATCGAGGAACCGGAGCTGAGTAAATCGGAGCCGGAGGAATATCTCTTTAGTGTAGTCACTAGTCAATGTAGTACTGCAGCAGAGAAGAGTCCTGACTGCAGTGACCGTGGTGACGTGATGTAGTGATATCCGACGGATCAACCGCCCTAACGTGAGAATATGGCGGGCTCCATAGAGATACCACTCCGTGACACGGATGAGGTAAATATGTCTTTTCTATTGATTATATAATTGATTTACGAGACTTATAACGAGATCTCGATAATAAAGAAATCGGGCAAATTATGGAAAACGCGAAATTTTACGGTAATCAGCGACGTCGGTACAGACCTAACCTCAAAGAAAGGGAAATGTTTCTTCCAATATTTCTACTCGCTGTTGATCGGGGTGGACGTGTTTCGCTTCGGTCCAAGTATTCATCGTCTTTATACAAATTTTTTGAAAGATTGGAAAGTGGAGCAGGAACAATAATATAATTTCGAGATAACAAAAGTAAATATCAGATTCAAGAGAAAAAGTTAACAGAGACTCGAGATCCGTCGTCGATGCTCCAGCAAATTCCTTATTTAACTCTTTTTCACTCCACCACGAGGGGGGAGGTCCGACACAGGCGATATTACCAAATTAATGTCCATTTCTACTAATGTAGATTAACTTTAATCTCAGTTTAACTTACTTTTTATCTTTTTCTAGTACTAAGAATAAAAAAAAAGATAAGCTGAATCACATTAAAGTTAATCCACTTTGGTAGAAATGGATATAAGTAATGTCACGTGTGTTTGCCTCTCACGAGTATAAACTTTTCTGCTGCTTGAGATCAAGGTTAAATCAAGATAGAAGTGCGAGATATTTACACATAACTTCTCCGAGATTTTAATCGTTTCTGTTTAATCCCACAGGTCATAGAACTTTATTTGGATCAATTACCAGATGGAGATGAAGTTCTGGGGATTCTGCGGCAGGAACATGCCCAACTCAGCATCTGGGTCAATTTGGCCGTACGTAGAACGGATAATTTTATAATCGAAAAGGGAGGTTATGTCACAGTGTCTATCTAAGCTTACTTCTTATTTCAGCTTGAGTATTATAAGCAGCAGAAGATCGAAGATTTCATTAAGATACTCGAATCTTCTCGTATTGATGCAAATATTGATTTTCGCGACTATGAAAAGGATCAGATGCGAGCACTCGACATGTTGGCTGCCTATTACGTCCAGGAAGCCAACAAGGAAAAGAACAAGGACAAGAAGAGAGATCTTTTCACAAAAGCCACGTTATTGTATACAACAGCTGACAAGATTATCATGTACGATCAGGTAGGTGTCATTCGAACATGCATTTCACAAGCGATATTCATAATTTTTCTACTTTTCTCTATTTTTTAAATTACATACAATCATTTTTTAATGATAGAACCATTTGCTCGGCCGAGCTTACTTCTGCCTGCTCGAAGGCGATAAGATGGAGCAGGCTGACGCGCAGTTTAATTTTGTGCTGAATCAGTCGCCGAACAATATACCTTCTCTGCTCGGCAAAGCTTGCATCGCTTTCAACAAAAAGGACTACAGAGGTGCTCTCGCGTTCTACAAGAAGGCCCTCAGAACCAATCCAAACTGTCCGGCCGCCGTCAGACTGGGCATGGGGCATTGTTTCATGAAGTTGAATAATCAGGAGAAGGCGCGACTTGCGTTCGAGAGAGCTCTGCAGCTGGATGGACAGTGCGTTGGCGCGCTGGTGGGACTCTCGGTCTTAAAACTGAATCAGCAGCAGCCCGACAGTATACGGACCGGCGTGCAAATGCTATCGAAGGCGTACACGATCGATTCGACGAATCCGATGGTGCTGAATCACTTGGCGAATCACTTCTTCTTCAAAAAAGATTACAACAAGGTTCAACATTTGGCGCTGCACGCGTTTCACAACACGGAGAACGAAGCCATGCGGGCAGAAAGCTGCTATCAACTAGCCAGAGCATTTCACGTCCAAGTAAGCAGAAAAAATAGTAATTAATAATGTAAAATTTTTGTGTCAATATTACACATCGTTGCTAATTAAGTAAAAATATTTCAGGGCGATTACGATCAAGCCTTTCAATATTACTATCAGGCGACGCAGTTCGCTCCGCCTGTATTTGTACTGCCGCATTTTGGCTTGGGACAAATGTACGTCTATCGCGGTGACGCGGAAAATGTAAGAACGTGCAGCATACATTGTTTAAAATTAATTATTTGTATAGACGTGTAAAAATACTAATTTATCCCCCAACAAAAGGCAGCCCAGTGCTTCGAGAAGGTCTTGAAAGCGCAACCAGGAAATTACGAAACCATGAAGATTCTCGGCTCGCTCTACGCTAACTCGAGCTCCCAGTCGAAACGCGACATTGCGAAAAATCACTTGCGTAAAGTAACGGAGCAGTTTCCCGACGACGTCGAAGCCTGGATCGAATTGGCACAGATATTGGAGCAGAGCGATTTGAACGCCGCCTTGAATGCTTACGGGACCGCGACTAGGATCCTGAAGGAGAAAGTTCAAGCGGACATACCGCCGGAGATCTTGAACAACGTGGGTGCGTTGCATTACAGGTACGTGTATATTTTTTTTTACATTGCATTTATTTTGTATGACTAATTGTGTGACTAATTTGTCTTTTTATACTTCTCAGACTCGGTAACTTGGAGGAAGCCAGGAAGAATCTAGAGGAATCCCTGGCGCGTTCGAAAGCGGACGCCCTGCACGATTCCGTGTATTATAATTCGATAGCAGTGACCACGACTTACAATTTAGCGCGGCTCAACGAGGCGTTGTGCGTGTTCGACCGTGCTGAGAAGCTGTACAAAGACATTTTGAAGGAGCATCCGAATTACGTGGACTGCTACTTGCGACTCGGCTGCATGGCCAGGGACAAGGGGCAGATATACGAGGCGTCCGATTGGTTCAAGGACGCCCTGAGGATCAATAACGAGCATCCGGACGCGTGGTCGCTGTTGGGCAATTTGCATCTGGCCAAGATGGAGTGGGGCCCCGGCCAGAAGAAGTTCGAGAGGATCCTGAAGAATCCGACGACCAGCACCGACGCTTACTCCTTGATAGCGCTGGGAAACATTTGGCTGCAGACGTTGCATCAGAGCGGAAAGGACAAGGAACGGGAGAAGCGACATCAGGATCGGGCACTGGCCATGTACAAGCAGGTAACGCAATTTGAGCTAGTCGATCAAAATACACTCGCGATTACGACTAATACGATTTGCTAATAGGTTCTGAGAAACGACCCGAAGAACATCTGGGCTGCGAATGGCATCGGTGCGGTACTCGCGCATAAGGGTTGCGTAAACGAAGCCAGAGATATATTTGCTCAAGTGCGCGAGGCAACGGCGGAATTCTGCGATGTCTGGCTGAATATTGCACATATCTACGTGGAGCAGAAACAATTCGTCAGTGCTATTCAAATGGTAGGTAATCTGTATAGTTGACATAATTGGAAGTAATTGATTTCAACTTAAATAAACTTAATTTAACATTGCATTTTAACATTGCAGTACGAAAATTGTTTGCGCAAGTTCTACAAGTACCATCACGTTGAAGTCTTGCAATATCTTGGGAGAGCTTATTTTAAAGCTGGCAAGCTAAAAGAAGCGAAACTGACGTTATTGAAAGTAATTAGCTATACGTGAATATATGTAAATATTTTTTAGACTGTTCTGTTTTAATTCCTAATTTGTCGATATATTTTTAGGCACGTCGAGTAGCCCCGCAGGATACCGTCTTACTGTACAATATTGCTCTCGTACTCCAACGACTGGCCACGCAAATTCTTAAAGATGAAAAATCGACTTTGACCACCGTACTTCAGGCAGTTCACGAATTAGGCCTGTCGCACAAATATTTCCAGTATTTGTCAGCGCACGGCGACAGGATGGAACAGCTGGCTGAAGCTGAAGCCAGAAGGTGTCAGGATTTGTTGTCGCAAGCGCAGTATCATGTCGCTAGAGCTAGAAGGTTGGACGAGGAAGAGAAGATGTTGAGACGGAAGCAGGAAGAAGAAAGGTACGTCACTCTCGTCGGAGAGATGATATTTCCTTTTTATATGCTTATCGCTAAATCATCTAAATCATCTCTTTATAGGCAAGCTTTCAAAATGCGTCAGACGGAAGAGCAACGCAAATTGGAGGAGATGCGTCGTCAGAAAGAAGAGGAGATGTTGCAGAAGCGACAAGAGTACGTGGAGAAAACTAAGAACGCGTTGGTGTTCGGCGAAATGCCGTCAGAGAAACCCGGAAAGAAGGGCAAGAGACCCCGAACTGACCAGTATGTCAGTGATAGCGGAGGGTCCGAGAGGGACGAAGGCGGAAGAGAGGAAGTGCCGAAGGAAAGAAAGCGTAAGAGGAAACCTAGCGGTGAGACTAAGGAGAGGAAGAGCAGAGGTAAAGGCAGACGTAGGAAGGACGCCGGAAGTGGCAATAGCGGTAAGAAATTTAATTTTTACTTCGTCCATTCCGTATAAAACACTATAAAATTCCTGTGTGATTTTTCGCGTGTAAATCCCGGGTTGCTCCACGGGCGTTTTTGAGGCGTTAGTCTCAGTTTTCTTATATTGACGATACGGTTTTCCTCAAGGGCAGGTGTTAGTACAAGGCGAAATAAATTTCATAAGATATTTACTCTTTATTATTTTTTTTTTATTCAACTTGCAAGCCTCGCTTCATATTGATAATTTGGTGTGAGAAACGAGAGGAATTGATTAGTACCCTGCAACGAGAACGACTATTACATCATCGCTAGTGACTCTTGAGATTCGCGGGAATCGATGAAATCTCGCGATCACGATTTAAGCGATTTCCAAGTAACGAAAGTGTGACTCGACACGAATTGACGCGATAATTATTGTTAAGCGTTCGAATAAATAAACGCGTATTACACAATACGAAACAATCTCTCGCTTTATCAAATTGATTTTTATAAGATTAAATAAACAATTTCGAAAATATGTATTTTGCAGGATCGGATAGTGAACCGAAACGCAAGCGTGGAAAGACAAACGCGAAGAGGAAAGAGAAACGTAAGGGCGCCGTTGAGACCCTTAAGGGCAAACTCGTTAAATCGAAAGAAACTATTTCGACGAGCGAGTCAGACAGCGATACGGGCGCCCTTAAAATCGCTAGCGGGTAAGCACGATATGTTATCTTAATATTACACAATTATGTCTAATTTCGTAGCCCAACAAATCAGAGTTGATTTGATTTTTCTTACGAGTTGGTATCATATTTATTTCTAGATCATATTCCGAATGGCTACATTAAAATGCGAATATATTAAAACATCTTGTTAAATATATTAATTTTTTACTTTTCCCACAATAAAAAAAAATCGAAATTAATCACGTTTAAACTTTGTGATAATTTTTGTTGTTATAGCGGCGAAAGCGGCAACGAGAACCAACCGCGTAGCAGCCGTCGAATTGCGTCCGATTCCGAAGGCTCTCGCGCCTCACGCTCTCGCTCTCGTTCGAAGTCTGGAAGCCGTTCAAGAAGCAGTTCGCGTTCGCGTTCTCGTTCTCGTTCGCGTTCACGTTCGCGTTCGCGTTCGCGTTCACGTTCACGTTCACGTTCACGTTCGCGTTCGCGTTCAGCCTCCCGTTCGCGATCACGGTCGCGCTCTCGGTCTCGATCTCGATCCGTTTCGGGCTCCAGGTCCAGAAGCGTTTCGAGATCAAGAAGCCGCTCGGCATCCGGGTCAAGATCAGGGTCGGCTAAAAGCAGGTCAAGATCGAGGTCGGGCTCGCGCAAGAGCGGCTCGCGATCAAGGTCTAACAGCGGCTCGCGAAGAAGTGGATCAAAGCCAAGATCAAGATCGAGTTCGCGAAAGAGCGGTTCTAGGTCGAGGTCACCGAGCGGTTCAAGGAAAGGCGTATCGCCGTCAAGGTCCCGATCCAAAAGTGGCTCGCGTTCGGGCTCGGAGGAACGCAAGTCGAGAAGCAAGAGTCGATCGCGGTCTAAATCGAAGTCCGTTTCGAGATCCAAATCAAGATCGAGGAGCGGCAGCAGATCGCGGTCGCGCTCGCGATCGAAGAGCGGTTCTCGAAGCCGAAGTCCGAGCGGATCGGCACGGTGAGTTTATTTTTTTTTTCATAACACAATTATAACATATAAAAGTTTTCGTATATATTACATCAGACATGTTATTTTTTTTTGCACAGATCTGCGTCCCCGGTATCTAGAAAATCGGTGTCGGGAAGCGGCGGTAGCGATAGCGAGTAAACCGGCCGTTCTTACAGTTGTAATATGGTGAAGAAAGAAAAAAAATTATACTTAGATATGTGTAAAATATAATTTTTATAAGGATCCTTTTATGAAGATCTTTCAATGCAAATAACTTACGAAAAACATGTTTAATCACCTCTACTGGAATTATTTCTTAGGTAACTTTTAAAAAGTATTTTGATAATAATGAGATACAACATCGCTGGAAGCAGTTTTATGCTTCTTTTAACAACTTTAAAATTTTCATCTATTCTTGTTTTTCTGATTTACTGTATTATTTTCGGTTACCGTCTGTCATATCTCATCACGTACAATTTATAGAATGTATCTATTAACGAAGTATATTGGAAGACCAAATACACTTTAAAGGGGACCTTAACATACACTCAACTAGGACCTCGATTTACGTATGAGTTTATCGACTTTTTTCTTTGTTGTAAAAAGATTGTTATATTATTTTCCCCAATAATAATAATAATGATCTAATAATAAGTCAGGCGATAGCTTTGTGTATTATTATATACTATATCATCAGCACTGCGACGGTAACAATGTATGAAATATACAAGACAAAATATATAAGATTGTATCTATGATCAAGTAAGATAAGTTTTATAATACAGTGCTAAATAAAACAACGAAATTGCACATTGTATCACTTTCTTTACCTAGATCAGGTGATAAAATTTTCTTTCGATCTAGCCGCGTTTTTTCTGAGACTAAAGACTTCACGAGACTTCAACTCGGCACTCGGGCGACTTGTGAAACGTTAAATGTAAAATAGTCGATACTCGGTTTACATTAGTCAGACGGTCGACGCTCCTAGGTTTGAACATACGTCGTATGCTGTTATGCAAATATAATTAGATGTCTGTCGTGCGGGGAGCAGTGCGCATATCGATCTCACCTGCTGCGGTGCAAAATAAATTATTAAACGCTCATTCTCGGGGTGAGTGACACACTCGCATGGCCTGCGACGGTATTTCACCACAAGTTGCCGGTGACAATCCGATTTCCCGCGCGCGTTTCGCTCTAATTTTCTGACCTTTCCAAACGGGCGTCCACATCGATCCGCCCGCGTATCGATCCTCTCGCGCCGTTTTCGCGAAACTTCCAAGGACTTGTCAGCGACATTAATGCACTGAAAAAGCATTCCCCCTTATTTCTCTAATGGAAATATAGCAATTTTAAATGTAATTTAATTACATCCAATTATGCACATGCGAAAAAACACAAACGAAATTTCTATGAATACCTGAGTATCCTATATTGGAAGCTATAGTGATAAATGGATTAACGAATAAATGATAATGAATAATGCTTTTGCAGTAAATTCGTCCAGTTATATATTTAATGAGTTTCTACCAATATACTAATGACGTTTACGTGCAAACGAGGCGTTAACGTGGAAAAGCAGTTGCGTCTGTGCAACAGTTCCACGTGGGGAAGCATACCAAGCCACGTGGTAATTTCATTATGAATGTTACACGAATATGGTCTTTGTAGAAAACGGATTAACCGGTTTCGGCGCGCGTCAGTGCTCGCACGTAATTATAGCTTAATTGTAATTACATTTTCAGTTCAGCACTCGTCCGTTCCCATTGTCCGTGGGTTTAATCACTTTATCCCTGCTTTAATTAATGAGCGTATCGCCGAGGAAAATCATGGGCTGTGCAGAATCGTATTCGATCATCGGTATCCGCGTCCGTCACTCCTCGACTTTCTCTCATGACCTCTCGTGACTTCTCTTATCTATCATGTTACTCGCCGGTTATCGCCGGGTTTCTCTAGCTCTAAAGACCCGGTCAAACTTTATCGTAAAAGGCAGCCTAGTTCCATCAGTATGTCTATAAAGTCTGATAACTTCTCGTCAGGTGTACGACGTACGTTATATACGATTTCTGATGTACTCGCGCTCTTATATACACACATCTGTCATTCCTTAACAATATATAAAAAAAAAACGTGGCGCTGTTATTCTTCTCTCTCTTTCTCTTATCATTATTTTAGTGACAAATTTCAATATTTATAGTTTAAAATGGAGTACAAAATTTTTAGGTCTCAGTAAAAATATGTAGAATAATGTAGAATAAAATTTTTAATCTTTTAATTTATAAGTATAAATCTCATACATTTATAGATCAACGATTCTTTCTTTATTGGCGATGATTTTTTTTCATATAATCATTTTTCTACTCTCGTTCCTTCGAGCGTGTGAGATTTCTTTTATGAACCAAATTTTACGTCCACATTTTCTGAGTTACACTAGCTCACACTGGTAGCTTTCTCCACAGCTCTGGCATGAATCCTTTATTTTTAGACAAGTTTCACGACAGGTGCATTCCATTGCTTTAATCCCAATAGCATATAAAGCACGGTAAATCTGGTGCCACACGTGGCACAAGCAAGATTCCACCCCATACATATGTAATAACGCTATCAACTACAGTGCGCGGAAGAGCGTGCGCTCTGAATTTCCCACGAGTAATTTTCGGTCCCGTCGCTCATCGATAATGGTCGCGCAACGCACGAAATATCTCTTAGATTCGGCAAAATCAATTGTCCGCATAATTCGCATATTAAACGTCAAATTATTTGACCAATCATACTTATCGCTTAAGTATCTCACACAAAATCTAAATTTCCCGAAATGCCTCGACATTTAAAAGCTATTTAGAGTGAATAATGGAAAAATAATGGTAAAATCCTCGCGCGTGCGTCGTACGCGATTATACAAATAAAAAAAAAGACAGATAATTCACCGCTACTTATATCTTATATCAAATTTAATTGATTTTCCGCCAACTTTGGTTGGATCTTAATTACACCTCCAATTAGATCCTCCATGAAAGGTAATAATTTGAGATCCCGATTTAGAAAACGAGCGGATTTGGACTATCAAGGATACCGTGCGCCCGAAATCCCCGTTCGTTATCGTTACGACCGCTTAACTCGCAAGCGCTGCAATCTTCGCTGAAGTGTACGTACTTGAGGGGTACATCTAGAGGGAAATCTTCAGTCTGATATACAAGAGGATTCAGATTGGGGAGCGAATGGAGATATTAAGGAAAGAGGGTGCGAGTCCCTCAGTCTGTAGGTACTACGCCGGGCACAACCGAGCGCACCAAATATTTGCCGTTTCGATCCACCGACGCGCGCGGCGTGGATTTATTTTCTCGCTCCCGCTCTCGCGTACGCTCCCTCTTTCGATCTCTTTGCCGACTCCGTTGAATTGACCCAGATACTCCACAACATTTGTTGTTTCATTTCAGTTCAGTTTCCCTTTTTTTCTTTCATCCTCTTTGGACCCTTTAATTAAGTTAATTTGACGCTTACAAAGTTACGAAACAAGATACGTCTTTCTGCCAAAGGAAAAAGATTGTTGTTCAAAAATTAGTTCTGACGTAATTAATTATCTATCGCACAATCAGTGTATAATAGATTGTAAAAATAAAATAAAATAATTGCAAAAAATACGAAGTCTAAGATACGTATAATAAAGGATGCGTATTCTTCGTTTTAAGCTCGGCCTACAATTGCGTAAGCGAAGTTGTAAGTGGTTGCAGTTGTAAAAATTCACCAATCACAATAAAAAATAAGAAAAAAATTTTATAAGAGATCAGTTCTTACAACTTCAATCACTTATGACTACGATTACGCCAATTGTAGACCAGCTTTTACTGTTACGGTATCTCCTCTTTTTTTCCAGCGTGGAAAAGAAACAAATTACGCTAAAGAAGGATATCAAGCTTTATAACTATATTTTCAACTTTAACGATCTTGGCTTCCTGCAGTGATTATACAGAATTTCATGAAACCAATCATTGAAATAGGAGAACTGCCTAACTTTGCCTCTCGGTAGACTGAAGTTTAATTAGTTCTACAACTTAGTACCATGGAATTATGCATAGCCACAGGTACGTCAAAGCCAATGCAATATTATTTACGCCGCGTGTGTTTAGTCTGTCGTGGATTGTCCCAGAATTTACTGTAACTCTCGACTCTTTTGTTTTGCATTGTCTTCGATGACAATAAGTGAGTTCATTTATATTTTTATGCGACATTACCTTAACGCTGGCAAAATCAGCTTTAAATTTTATCATTTCAAAGAATGTTTTGGATCCTTAAACCTCTAGAATTATTCCTGTACGTTTCCCTAAAATTGAAAAGCCAAGCCAAATGTATCTTTATCTTTTAATTGAAATCTCTTTTTTTAACATAAATCTTTTTATTTTTATATCTAATACATATTACAAAAATAAAACCGAAAGAGGGTCAAATATCCGAGAAATGACATCCTTACAAAAAATAATTATACATACTTAATTGAAATATCAATCTTTGATAGATATCGATTTTTCGTAATGTTATTAAAGCATTTTAATTCTTGTTCGTCGCGATGGAGAACATATGAATTCCACCTGAAAAAATTCTCTCTAAAGAAAGACTTTTTAGTCTTTTCAGATCAAAGTCCGAGTAGAATTTAATTAGCTTTTTCGAGTTTAATTTTCACGAATGCGAAATATTGCATGCGCGCAGAAGCGAGACAATGATTAAATAAAACCGCTTCAAGACCGGTGATTGCTAATGAATGACTTAGAATTATGAGAGTCGGCTTGCTTTACGAGATGGCAAAAATTTCGACGTCATCACAAACAAATGTTATTGCTGGGGCACTTGAGGCTCAAGCGTTTCCGTTTGAACCGCTTCAGCAAGATTAATTACCATCGTTGTGTCCGTCGTTTATATACGCCTCTTGTCCCATGTCGAATGCTCATTACGTCGAGGGTTACGAATTGTCATCGTGTCGTCGTTATGGCGTGATTACCGGATTGTTATTATATCGTCGATTTAAGAGACCCGGGTCACAGAGCACTTAAAAGATGTAAAAAGGAATATAATTGATATTTCAATTAACTGCAATAAAATTAATTTAGTAATTCATTATGGTGGTATAACAGATGGTAATAATTCTGAGTTTTAATTTTCAACTTCCATTTCTACCAAATGTATAGTAACTTTAATCTCGGTTTTATATTTACTTTCTATCATTTTCTAATTATTAAAGTTAGAAAAAAATATAAAGTAAGTTAAACTTGAATTAAAGGTAGTTAACCTACATTGGTAGGAATGGACATTAATAAAAAATCGTATAGACGTATTATTGACGTACTTCTAACACATACATATATGTTGACACAAAGTTTTCAGTAAGTGACTTCCAATGCGTCACGCCAACAGGGCGATCGATGAAAAAGATCGAGGGTAAAGCAATTTGGCCAAATCGTAAAGCGATATATTACAAGATGGTACCAACCGACGTTTACACACGGACAGCGCTAAAATTACGACTGTGTAAACGCCGGTAGAAGCTCACGGCACGTGTCTCCGCCTCGTAAACTTTATTGCCACGTGCGTAAAGCGTTCTACGGAATCTGGGCGTTGGAGCAGTTTTACGATCATTGATATGGATCATACGACCGGAAGCAATCGCGATCTGGTTATCTCCATTTCGTCAAGGAACGAAAGATTCTCAGGAAGCGCCCAGATTTTTTTATCGCGGCATATTCGGTACGATAAAATAATATCACACATCGCAGCGCTGCTGCAGTAAAAAAAATACACGGAAAGAACGATTTTGTTGAAAGGTCTAAAAATTTTGCTGAATACAGATCTGAAAACAATTTTTTGTTGAATCATCAAAATAATTTGTTAGAATGTTAAAACTGATAAGCATTGCTACAAAACGTTTTGATATTCTAGCAATCATTTTAACTTTCGCACAAAATTATTTTGATTAATAAACAAAAATTATTTTCAGATCTGGATCCAAAAAAATTGTTCTTTCCGTGTAACTATATACGAGTTGTTTAAAATAATTAGAAAAGTTTGGTTCGAAAAATATTAAAATTTACGTTAAATAAAGAATTATATATATAAAAAATTCAAGGCTTTACGGTAATAAATATAACATAACGTCTCAATTAAATTTAACCATAATTTCAACATTACGGTATTAATTAATTGTAGATAATTTCAACATTACGGTATTAATTAATTGTAGATAATTTCAACATTACGGTATTAATCGCAGATGTATTGTAGATATTATACATATTGTAAAATATTCAATTTTACAGTTAACGGAAATTGTTCTCTCAATATCGATTGTGATAATTTCCTTTTTTCATATCAACGGAAATTCTAGTAACTAAATTTTTTATACCGTAGCTTATTACACCGTATAGTTACTCATCTACATAAAGACGCAATACCCGTGCTTTCCGAGGCGCTTCCGAGACCGACGTCCTCGATTTAAGGAGGCCTTCTCGAAAATTCTTTATCGCAGCATTTCATCGATGTTCGGAAAATAAGGGAAAGTCGATCCAAGGGTTCCGAGGGCGGAACCTCGCTGTTGCGTCTTCATCGGATAAGGTTTAAGGTTACCGCAAACACTCGACCCCGAGGGAGTGGACGTTTCGCGACGTTCCTTTTTTTTCCGCCCCTCATTTCGCTCTCGTCGAAATTGCCGGGCTTTCATCATGACCCAATTCGACGATGCCGGGTCTTATCGTATATACGGTGAAGGCCGAGAGCTGACCGATACGGAATGCGATTTCGCCCCTTAACAACGAAAACGAATATGCGACGTAGGAAGTGCGCCCCGAAGGAGCGCCTCACCGATTCCGTCGTTATACGGAATTCCGACTGAATTGAAAATGGATTCGCATTGTACGATATCGTCGCGATAATGCTTATGCGCCTCGTAACATCTCGTAGCCGATATTGTTCAGTAGTTCACTCTAAAGCAACATGAATATGCGCAGAACCATAACATCAAACATGAATTAATAACGAATAGATTATTCGCTCGAAATTTAAAAAATTCAAA